TCGGGTATATGGTGTTCTTTGGTGTTCCTAGGTGTCTGGTGTTCCTTATTTGACACTAGGTGAGTTGTACCCATTCGATCCATATACCTGCTAAGTTGCTCCGGAAGCTATACCTATAGTGATTTCGCCAAGAAAACAGCGAGATGCTTAACTTTGATATATGTTTATCAGTTAAATTAAGTTTTGCAGACAGATAACATCAGTCCAGACCGTATGTTCATTTTTGAATGCAATGTAGCCAGCCACCTTACCGTCCTAGGACAGAAAATCACACTTCGATAATTGATTCAAACGCCGGCATGAGAGCGCTGCATTGCGTCCTGATGGCACACATGATGTAACTGAGACGTGCTCTCTTAATAACAACAGCGTATGCTGCCTAAGTTAGGAGCCGGACGGCTCGCTCCACTGCCTGAGTAGTGAGTATGGGTATGCACCGGATCGAAATTAATTTGCTAAGCAGCGGGTCGAAGGTCACCCTCTTCCAGCGAGATTGCTATTGGTGACTCTGTAACGCGTTTTTTGGACCGATCTATGAGCTGCATGTAGTGCATGACTTGACTTGTTTATTGCAAAATGCTGATAGAATCGCATATCTTTGTCTCCTGCCTCATTCACTTCCTATACTTTTTTGCCGTATCGAGTCTTTTTATCACCATTCCTTAGTTCAGCAAGCATCGCAGCGTATGCACTGTTTGCTGGCTGTCTGTATCGGCTAGTGGCAGTCCAAAAAAGTTTCCTATAGTGAGCCCGGTACTTATTCCTGTCGATCACTGGGCAAATGACACAGACCGATGAGCTGAGAGGTCTCGCAATAGCGGGATGCTTTGGAGTAATCCGTCTCTGCAATGTTTACTCCGTAATTTCGGACCACATTGGGACATAGTGAACAACATTGAACTCGGTGATAGTTCGAAGCTGGTCAATATATGTTGTATGATGGGCGATCGCGACGGAATATGTAACTTGCAAGCTGCCAACGTAAGCCATTTTACCAAATTCAAGGGCTCAAGCTTCCTTACTGACAGCTACCTCAGGATTTGTCAAGAGGTGACGTCTGCTTCCGGGCTGTTCAGAAGTGCTCTCTGATCTGGACTGCATGGCGTTGCCCGAAACGGCACGAACGGTTCCTGCTCGATGCACAGGCACTCTTAGTAAATGGTCCACTGATCGGCGCGGCTTTAGTCCAGTGGCTTTTCCACAAGTCTTGTAAACTTGTTTAATAATTTGGCCCTTGTCTGATTTTGGTGTAAAATAGAATAAGCACTGACTACCGGCTCATTTACTGAAGCAATATGCTCGTCCAGCAGGCTCGTCCTAGCCGATGATCCAGCACGGCCATCCTATTTATCATGATAAACGACGCATCCTTATGCACGTAAAATGCAGAAGGGCATTTCCTTTGTAATCACTTGCCTATCCGAGAACAGAATGTGAGGTGTCACCGAGGACCACCACGCGGCATTAGTTCCGTTTCGACATGGAGGCTCCTTTGCACTAACTGCAACAATGTCACATGATTGGGCTCACAAATTGCGCCGGCGACCGCTTAGCAGCTACTACTGCGGTTATTATGAGATCAGTTTCCCTCAAAGCTCGATGCTCCACTGCTTGTTGCGGTGGCCCAGCCCCAATAGGTCATCAAAATGGGATCTGATGGTCCGATGAGAACGCGCCACTCGGGCAGTGATATGATACGCGGATCGCTGATCAGCAGGATACCTCGCAACTCATCCTCAGTCTGCTGTCAGATGAAGCCGGGCTAACTTAGTACTTATTCTGCAATTGAGCTGCTACTGTTCAGTTCTAACACTAGGTTTGCATTAACCCACGAGCCGCTGGGGGGGGGGGGCATAAAGTTGCCCCCCTTTACGTTTTGTGAAATATCTCCGAAACCTGATGAGCTACGAACCTGAAACTTGGCATAGCTTCAAATGAATACCTAGGCAATGTTTGAGGAAAGTTTGGTGGTTGTAGCACCTAAGATGACGTCACAGTGACGTCATAAAGTTTTGTCGTTTTCCGACATGGACCGTTTCTGATGACGCTGAGCATGAAACTCGACTGTAAATGAACTAGACAGCACCTGCTGTCATCCTAAAACATCTTACTACACTTCCATCTAGTTTCTGACCAATAATCGGCCCTTTATATTCGGTCCAATATATGTGATGTATCGTGAGGAATATGAGAGTCGCAAATCTATAATTTCACTTATGACGTCACTGTGACGTCATTTCAAATGGGATCGACACCAAATTTGGACACAACCTCGGCTAGGTATTCAGGAAGATGTGTGCAAAGTTTCGCTTCTCTATCTCTTCGCGTTGCGACGATATCGTCGCAGAAGTAAAGGGGGGGGCAACTTTATGCCCCCCCCCAGCGGCCGGCGGGTGGCGCGGAGGCCCAGCGGCCGCCGGGTTAACAAAAGGTTAAATTTACATGGAAGAAAATAATCGAAGCCAAAACTGAAAATAATGCTGCTGAAGTCTCAGCGCAGAATTAGGTAAATGACTAATAGGTCCAGCGGACACTATCGCACTTGGCGAATAATGGCTGTGCAAAAGTCAGGTGAACCCCTAATATGTAAATTTCATGGCTAATTTATTTGCAATTGACAGCTTTCACGCTATATACGCTCCTGTGCCTCACGTTTTTTTCATCAGCGTCCTAAGATCGCATCAGCAGAATGCATACTGTCTCGACCGACGCAAGGTTAACAGTCCTCTCAAGAGATGGCGCTGCGATCGAGTTGCGGAAAACCGATACAGAGAGCATGGCACCATGGCCACAGTTAGAGAGATACAGCCAACAGACTTACAGAATAGGTTGAGGAATAGCTGAAGTTTCGAGGTATATATTTGAAAATAATTAATTATATGATATTTGTGCTCAAATCTCGCGTGCAGTGAAAATGTAGCGAAAAACCCGGTTGATTAACCCTCGCGGGCCCGGGGGGGGGGCGTTTTTCGCCCCCCCTGGCGAATATTTGCGATAACTCCCGAACGCTTAGGGATAGGAAGGCGAAACTTTCAGTACCTTTTCTCCCATCAATTTGACATCTTCTGAAGTAAAAAATTTGGACCTAGCCCCCTTGATGACGTCACAAGGTCCATTTTTCTAGACCCCTGCACGGCAAAAATCGGTGTCACAGACGCAAACTTCAAATAGCTGCTAAAAATAGAGTTTTAGAGATAAAGACAAATTACGAGCACGGCTGTGTAGCGTTTGACCTAGAGAAAAATAGAAAAATAGTTTTGGTGACCTGAGGTCAGAGGTCAGGTCAACGACCCCGAAATGTGGTTTTAGTTTTTCGCAAATAACTTCAACAAAAATGGTCCTAGAGCTACGGCAGTGGTACCATCGCATTCGCCTTGTCAAGCCGCGTCGAATGATATATATTTTGTTCGGAAAAGGTCAAGTTTCATGTTGACCTCATGTGACCTCGAATGACCTCTGGTTGACCTTGACACATGAAAGGTCGTTTATGATGGATTTGTACCCGCTGATCACGAATCTGGCATCAATTTTCCTCTAAGCCGTCATTTAGAACTTCCGGATGGCAAAATTGTCTTATTTATTATTACTAACTTGAATCAGTGAAATAGCCTCTAGCAGGGATACTCTTCTGTGACCTTGACCTTTGAGCAGCCTTGTATCGTAAGATGAACCACAAATAGGGAACTGATAAGCCTCAAAACATTTCAAAACATCTTGGAAGTTAGCACGCAAGATGTGCGAAAAAGTGCCAAGTTTGAGGTCAATTTTGAGCGTGACCTTGACCTTGACCTTTGATTTAGAGCACATTTTCAGAATCCTCAGATTCTCTTCTTTCGTTTGACACCCAATTTTGCCGGTTTGATGCAGCCTGCCGTCCTCTAGAAGGCTTACTTTGAGATCACTACACATGTGCCGGTTTTGGCCTTTGACCTTGACCTCTGACCTTGAAAATTGACCTGAGGTCAAAAATTTTAGGTGCATTAGAATCGTCTCGTAAGGACCTTTCGTTTGGTATCGCTTTTGTTTCCGTAGCTCCCTTATTTACGGAGTTAGACGGGGGGGCGAAAAACGCCCCCCCCCCGGGCTGCGGTGGTTGGGATTACCCCCCGGGCCCGGCCGGGTTAATTGGCTGCGGCGACCCGCAACCTCAACCAAAAAAAATGAAAAAATTCACACATTCTTCTTGTGACATGCTCCGTAGGAATTTCGGTCTTCATTTTGTGTCCTCGAAAAAAAGTTCTCGGATGACCCGCCCTAGTACACATAGTTCATGGCCTTGATTTTAACTGCGATAGTCACGACCGTGATTTTCTAACCGTGAGCTTTAGCGGCGATTTATCGTTATTGCACTACGTGGTTACTTGCTGGCTCAGAGGCGATGTGATTTTCATAGGTGTTGTTCCCTTGTTCCACATATTGTCAATATAGTTGTTCCAGTTGTTCCCTGGTGTACCCATGTGTGCGTAAGTCACAGTGTGAGCCTATATGGCTTGGAAGAAGACTCTAGCAGTCCCCACTGTGTGACCTGTGCTGTGTACTGCTAGTTCACTTACCCCTACCCTTCTACCCCGCGCTTCGTCCCTCCTCTATCTACCTCTGTGGATCTGTTCCTGAAGTGGTCATTACATAGATACATATATGTACTTTGATCTTGGGTTCAGGGTGATGTTTTGATTAGGGAACGGTTATAAATTCATAAACCCAACTATGAAACCTGACTCCTCAGTCCTCATGCATTGAACTCATACGAGCTTCAGCTGACCCTTTTATCCCTTACTGACCAATGACCTCGATGACCTCTGGCCTCGCTAAGCGACCTTTGTTGACCTTTGGCCTTCCTTTTTCGCAGAGGGCTCGTTTATGAGTTCAGCTAGCATCCCCTGCTGGCTGACCTATGCTGCCATTTGACCCTTTATATGCAGACCTATGCCCCGCATATATTGACCTTTGAGTGTATCCCTCGCGACCTCTGAACCCTTCTGACCTACCTGTGCTGACCTTTGACCCGGTATTTTCACAGAGGGCCAAGTCGAGGTCTCCAAAGATGGGAGGACCCTCAGTCAGATGGGACCAGGAAAGGTGTTTGGAGAGCTGGCCATACTCTACAACTGCCAGAGGACGGCCACCATCAAAGGTCAGATTTGTGGCGTGGAACATGGGGTTGTGACCTTTATTGACTAGTAGCTTCCGATAAATGTTGGTTTTGTATCGTACAACATCGAATTGTGAGCCTTATTGACTAGGATATTTCAATAAAGATGAGTTTTTTTATCTTACAACATTGACTTGTGGCGCTTATCGACTATTAAAAGAATGGCTACCATTAAAAGTCACTAAAGGAATATCAGCGATATGATCATAATATCATTTGAATATATGTGATTTTAATATAAAAATATACTAATTACAATTTTTACGGTTACAGAAATGCCAATGAAAGACCCCATTTAAAATATGTGTAATTGTGTGCGTGCCTTTCTACGCTTGCATATGTATTATGTGTACCTATTCCTGCCGCTCTTTGTATCTATCTTGTTTGTATGTTCTCTCACATTACCCCCCCCCCCCCTGCCCCCTACAGCGGCCACCGACTGCAAGCTGTTTGCCATCGAGCGGCAATGTTTCCAAACCATCATGATGAGAACTGGCCTTCAGAAGCAGGCAGAGTACACGGCCTTCCTGAAGAGGTGAGACATTCGCTAAAGCTCGCTTTATATCGTGCTATACCTTATAGTTCTCCCGAAGCGTGGCAAGTTAAAAGCTGCTTTCAAGATGTAAGGCGGAAGCCAAAGCTTAGTTTATGAATCATGCCTTGAAAAGCTTGTTTAGTGCCTTTCAGATTGACATGCTATGTGCTGTAGGTATACGAGCTCTGTTTTCTCTTTGGCCTTTGCCATTCCTGAAGAAATGAAAAGATAGCTAAAGTTGAATTCACACTGTATCAAGTTCATGTCATGAAGCAAAGTCGTCCATCAAACATATGACCACAATTCTATGTTACAATTTTAGTTTTATTGCATGCTACCAATTTTGACTTGCCCCATTGTATCAGGTTTTCTGAACAATGATGCTATTTCATCCATCTATCCGTCTTCCCATCCTCAGGATTAACCCTGATCCTGATCCTTGATCACCTATACTATTGCTGTGAGGCTGAAGATCTCACCGTCACAGCGGTAAGGGAGTAGCGCTCATCCCTCTAGCTTTAATAGGGAGTAGCTATTCCGTTCAGCTCCTATAGGGACATTGTCTCCGTGGGATGGCCTTGGTGCCAGTGCCGTCCCATGGGGACGATCTTGTCCAAACGGGACGCTCTTGTCCCATCGGGACGCTCCTGTCCCAGCGGAATGGGTTCAGCCGCTGCGGCGCACTAGCCCGCGTTGGTCGAATATTTGCCAAATGTTTTCCAGTATTCTCTCATCTCTTGGTCCCCGTATTACCATAAAATGAAGAGTTCATTATCAACATACCAAATCAGTTTTGATAAGTCTTGTTCTTCAAGTTTTACCCCTTAGCAATTTCATTTGTGACCACATGGCTGCTACATGGCTGTTCTGAATAATACCTAACATTTCAATAATCATGTTTTTGTTTTGGCAGCGTGCCAAGCTTCCAGAACCTGCCGGAAGAAACTGTCATCAAGCTGGCCGACGTTCTAGAAGAGGTAAGAAAACCCTAGTCGGTAACTCTCACAAAACTATCAAGACAAGTAAAGCTAGATTTTTTAAAGACTATGCCTACTTACTTCTGTGTACCGGAATGAATGCGAATATAGTAACTGAAGCCTGTCTTATTGCTTTAAGTACGAAGGTGCAAAGCGAAGGTGAAGTTTGAATGCCTTGAACACCGTCCAGCTGAAAATATCATCTAGGTGTAGTTTGTTTTTTTATGTTCGACTTTCACTGTAGACATCTTTTAACTCTGCCGAGATTTATTAGCGAGATTTGATGTCTCCTTATTTATTCGTTTATTTGCCCAATCGCCAACAGAGCAGTATCCACTTATAGACAAAGTCATAGTCTAATTTGAGTAGTAAGGAGACGTCCTACCACTCCTACCGGTATCTTTTTAGTTGAGTTTTATATGCCATTGGGTCAACAGTGCAAGGATATTTCTATTCTGCACTCCTCTGAGATGCAAAGATAAGAATTTGTTATCCTTACATCCCTCTGAGATGCAAAGATAAAGTCTCGAGGGCTCATAGGTACTTAAAAATCACTTGTGGAAGATCGGATAGGTATCTTTTCCTCACGTGTTCCAGAAAATCTCGCTCCTTTTTCGCTCGGTTTTTCAGTAATCCGCTTGAAAAGGCTATCCTTATCTTCCACTCGGAGCCATGAAGAATCCTCTGTATCTTGCTAACGTTGTTGTTGTTTTTTTCAGACGTACTACAGTCAGGGCGACTACATCATACGACAGGGAGCCCGCGGAGACACCTTCTACATCATCAGCAGGGGACGGGTCAGTAATCGGTGACGTCACTGTGATGTGTGTTTGTGGGACGTCAGTGGTATGTTCGGTGACGTCATATGTGATGTGGCGGTCCATTGTGATGGGATGTCTGTGATGTTTTATGTGACGTTGACATTCAGTGTAAGGCGTCATGTAAGACGTGATGTCATGAATAAGTTTATGGCTCTGTGGTATAGTGTGTGACGTCATATATGTAGTTACTCGTGTTTTAGAAATTATTTCACATTGGCTCTGACTGTTGAGTAATTGAAAGTGTAAAAGCTAACTATAGCGCGAGTAAATAGTTGACGGCCGCTTGTGAAAAAAAAAACGACTCGCGAGTAGGTAATAAACTACATATGCATAGCAAAGAACTAGAACGAAAATACGTACGCAAAATGCTCGCAAATGACGTAAAATTACGTAGGCGATAAAGTAGGAACATACCTAAGGATAAAAGTACATTTCGCTATTAGCCTTACCTAACCTGATTTATCCTGTCACATGACCTACCTAACCCGGCCTATGTTATACATTTGTACGCTATACCTCACGTACATTTGGGATATTTGTTTTGTCCTGATAGCTTTTGATGGTGTACATTTGTAATACGACCATCTTCTATAAGTAGGCACTCGTACTTTTGTCTAAAACCTGTAAAATTTGCATCTCTCCCGAATCACTATGATGCAATACAACCGGTCCCCGCTTCGCTGTGTCCATGACCTTCGAGATGACCTTGACCCCTTGCTGACACTAGGTCAACGTCACCATGAGGTCACCCGACTCGATGGAAGAAAAACTGATCCGAACGCTCGGAAAAGGAGACTTCTTCGGCGAGAAAGCGCTCCAGGGGTGAGTGCTGCCATCTGCTGGTAGAGCTTAGAAGCTGTGGTTGGTTTAGGTGTGCTTTGGTGGCGCTGAGATCTCAAAGATCGTCGTGAGTCGTGTAAGCCCAGGTTTAGATATTCGGTTTTTGCGGACTTGAATGAACGCGGACATTTTTTGAAAACTATTCATGCATATTCCACATGATTCAAATTATGCAGATTTATCGTAGCCCAACAACGTGCAGCCGTGCTGAAAGTTGGCTGTGAGCTGAACTGTCGCTACGGCCATAGAAGATGAAGGTGACAACTGACAGTTCAGCCTGGATCAAGGCGTTAAAGGTGTAGAGGAGAGGGATTTGTGCATTCTTGGGATACTTTAAAGGGATCGAAGGTGACGAACTGTGACCTGAACTGGCCTGGGTATATGACCTTCCATGACCGGTCCTGAAGCATATGAACAACCGCATGACCTCTTATGACTTTCCGTGAGCTCCTCTAACCTCCTATATGACATTATCACCTCTCATGACTTCGTGCATATTTTTAGAACATGATATGTCCTCCCGTGACACCAGACCTCTTGTATAATCTCGTACGACCTCATATGACATTCATGTGACTTCTCCCGTGATTTACGACCTCTCGCACGACCCCGCGTATGCCCAGATGTGGCCCTATAGTGTATGACATTCCATGCCCTCCCTTGACCTCTCCCGTAACCTCCTCTGACCTCTTGTATGACCTCATGTGACCTCTCTTACGCCCTCCTGTGACCTCTCCAATAGCCTCCTCTGATTGTGTGTTTTTTTTTGGGGGGGGGGGGGGGTTAGGCCCTTTCGGTCCAATGAGACCATTTCAGAGCCGGAAGGATGATAGGATATAGGGGGAGACGTTGGTCTGGGCAGGCACCCTAGTGAGTCTCCGGGGCTGAGCCCGTCCAAAGGACAGGCCACCCAGCGGCCAGCCCCAAGGCACTCACTGCACCCGGCTACGGGGTGCGCTCCCTCGGGAGCAGCGGTGCCGCTCCAAGGGAGCAGCCCGCATGAGATAAAGTTGCCTGTCCTGTCCAGCCCGGAGGGGGGTTGCAGCGCGGAGGAGAAGGAATTCAGTTTCCTGAGGATAGAAGCATGGAACGGTGATGACGACGGAACGGATGTGACTTCTCCCTTGACTTTTCCCGTGGCGTGACCTCCTGTCTGACTTCTCGTACGCCCTCCTGTCTTCAGTGAGGACATTCGCACTGCCAACATCGTGGCCGACGACCCCGACGGCGTGGCCTGTCTCGTTATCGACCACGACACTTTCGATCAGCTCATCAGCAGGCTGGAGGAGGTCAAGAACCGATACGTCGACGAGAGTCAGCTCAGAAAACAGTGAGTGGCGGTGCTGACATCTAGCGGGGCGTTGGTGCTGACATCTAGCGAGGTATTGGGGAAACATTGGTAAGTGGGGTGCTGACATCTAGCGGGGAATTGGGGAAACATTGGTGACTGGGGTGCTGACATCTAGTGGGGGATGGGGGAAACATTGGGTGAGCGATGCCGCTGACTTCTATGGGATGTATTTACCATTATTATTTATGGTGATGGAGATGCCATTTGAGCCTTATGATTCCCCAGACCCAGGCATTCAGAAGCTTATCACTATTTTACAGTGATGTATGTGTGTTTGCGGGAAGGGGCAGGGGGTAAATTTCGGTCGGCAATAGTTCAGGTTGACTTGCAAACTTCATCTGAAGTTGTGAAAAAAGTAAGCGCTGTATTTTGGAGAAGCATATTGTCAGCTGAATAATGAAATCAGCTATTCAGATATAATGTCTTGCAAGATAACGGGCTCTCCATTTTATATCCACTAACAGTGGACTTTGAGTGTACCATGCTCTTCGGGGTTATTTTGCATGTTTTGTCCAAAAGTTGAATAGGTGGACAACCTTGGCGTCACCCATGAGTTAGTACCGATTTGTGGCACTTTGGCTGCTTAGTGTCAGTCGTAGCTTGAAACGCATGTCTGAAGTGAAATGTGTCTCGTAAGTCATTATAGTGCCCCGTTTGCTATTTTAATTCCAAATGAATTGAAGAAATTCATGAAATTCTTGCGTGGCATGAAGTTCCCAGTGCTGTCTCGGGAGAGTCTTTAGGAGAGTAAATCACGACTTTCTGCATCGCATGGCCCGTCACTTTCCCTGTCTTTCAGGAGTATACCGCTCTTTGATGAACCAGATACGAAGGAATCCGATCACAGGTTGATTTGATGCTAGTATTGAGTACTACTAACCTATAGTCTGGCAAACCTAGGAAAGAACGGAGCTAGAGCACCTTGGAGTTCTTAACACGTGCATTGGATAATGGGGATAATATAGGTACCTGTGTTTTAAGACTGTTGACTGAAAGAAAGGAAAGAACTATCGGGCGTATAGGAAAGTAAATATACGGGCACGTGCATCAGTAACTGTTGCGCTTTGAATCCGTTCTTTCTTATGTTTATCAGACTGTAGTTAATGTTGTGTCGTGAATTAACCAGGGGTGCGATAGCTTTAGATGCCGTCATACAAAAAAGATACCTAGTATCCATGTAACTGTCAGCTGAAGGCAGCAACATAATATCTGTTTCATAAACATCTAATCGCACCAGCTAATCGCACATAACAAACCACAGTTATAAATGTGTATTATTCGAATTTTGACTCGTAACATTGTTCAAAGTTCCCAAGATGAACACTTGCTATTTTCTTTCACGACGCATTCCCATTTACACTTGGGTACAACACTTTGGCATCATATTTTTTAGGGTGTGAAAGGCCGTCTACCCAAATATGCTTGCCTAATATTTGATAGATGTTTCCTCTTTCTTTTTCGGATGCCGAGCATATACGTTTGCTGTACATACAATACAAGCTCGTGATAGGCACATTTTGTAACAGGCTACAAATTACAATACGATGCAGCTTTTGACACAGTAGTACCTACGACTAGCGGTAACACTAGTAAACATGATTGCTTACGAATCTTATGACTCTGTGATGGTATTTGCATTTTATTATGATTTAATTTTTTTATTGCCACTAATTGCATCCACATACGTAAGAAAAGCTGCTCCCCCTACAAGGGCTAACAGTCATACACGAGTCATCATCTACCGAAGGGATGACCTCACCTTGTTCTTCTCTGCCTAGCGGAATGTTACTTCCGAACATATTCGTACATATCAATTAGTTTATTTGACTAACATCCACAAATTTGACGTTACAAGATGGTCGACCGCCCTGTTGATTTCGAGAAGGCGTATGCGGTTTATCCATAAGCTTATGCTCAGCTTTCAATACATTGTCATAGACAAAACGTTATCACTTGTATTGATGTTTTATACCATGCTGTTGGACGCAGCTTTCAGGATTGTCTGACTAATGTGTGGTTAGTGTGTTGAAACCGCTTTATTTCTTACCTACTTCTCTTACCCTTCGTCCTTTGAGTGTTCCTTGAGTAAATCATTCTTCGTGTGTCTCTCTTCTCTCAGAATTAACTGTTACTTTGCCGACGTCATTCCCCACGAATTCCCAAAGGTCCCCACCAATTCCCTACTATTTACCCAATCACTCCCTATTAACTTCTCTGTTACTCCCTTAGAATCAACCATAGATTTCCGGGCGTCACTACCCTCCAAGAAATCCTCTATATTCCCCCCCCCCCCGATAACCCTCCCATTACTCCCTCAGAATCAACCGTGAGTTTGCGGACGTCACTCCCCCATATCCCCCTGGCCAATAACCCTCTATTACTCCCTCAGAATCAACCGCGAGTTTGCGGACGTCACTCCCCCATTAACCCCCAATAACCCCTCTATTACTCCCTCAGAATCAACCGTGAGTTTGCTGATGTCAAGCTGTCAGACCTGGCGGTGATTGCCACGCTGGGAGTCGGAGGGTTCGGACGGGTAGAGCTGGTTCAGATGGTACACGACAAGTCTAGGTCATTCGCGCTGAAACAGATGAAGAAAGCGCAGGTGAGTGGAGGGTAGAAAATGGGTAGAGGGGGTAGAGGAGGCCGTAGAGCGTTAGAGGAGGGGGCTAGACAGTGGTTTAAATCATAAGTTGGATAATGGGATGAATACTGGATTGGATAATATGTTGTATAATGTGTTGGCCGTTGGGTTAGCTGGATTATTCGTCGGATAACCTGCTCGGTGAGGTGGGTTATTAGTTTGATAACTGGGCTGTAAATAATGGATTGGATAGAAGGCTGGATAATGGTTCTGATAATAGGTTGGATAATGATTTGAATATGTGATGGATCATGAGTTTGGCAGTTAACGAGGCATGTGAAGTGGGCGCCTGGGTTGGAATAATGCAGGATTATTGCATTGTTTGTTATGTCGCAGTTGGGTCAATAAAAAATGATATTTGATTAAGATTATCAGATTTTGCTATTTTCTCCGTAAAGATGACATGCTATACAAATTCTATTACTTTCAGACCCCCCTCGAAATTATCCGTAAAATATTTCCTCCCAACTGGCCAAAAACATTAGCTCATCTCGGGGTTTGAACCCTCGCCTCCCTCAGATTGTGGAGACGCGTCAGCAGCAGCACATCATGTCCGAAAAGGAGATCATGGAAGAAGCCAACTGCGATTTCATCGTCAAGCTGTACAAGACGTTCAAGGACAGGAAGTACCTCTACATGCTGATGGAGTCGTGTATGGGAGGAGAACTGTGGACCATACTCAGGTGGGGCTCACAGAGATGTTTGTTTGTTTTGTTTTGTTGGGTTAGGCCCGTTCGGTCCAATGGGACCATTTCAGAGCCGGGAGGATGATAGGATATAGGGGGAGACATTGGTCTGGGCAGGCACCCTAGTGAGTCGCCGGGGCTGAGCCCGTCCAGAGGACAGGCCACCCAGCCCCAAGGCACTCACTGCACCCGGCCACGGGGTGCGCTCCCTCGGGAGCAGCGGTGCCGCTCCAAGGGAGCAGCCCGCATGAGATAAAGTTGCCTGTCCAGCCCGGAGGAGGGTTGCGGCGTGGAGGAGAAGGATTTCTGTATCCTGAGGATAGAAGCACGGAACGGTGATGAACAGAGATGTGGACAAAGGGGATATTATACTAGCGACCTTGCTGCGTGTCGCGATTGAGCCTTTGATTTGAGATAGATGACATGGATGGATGGCTGTATACTTAATATTTACAGCTAGTTAATCCTATTCGCTGCCCATGTGTATAAACTCTCACTCTCTCTCTCTCTCTCTCTCTCTCTCTCTCTCTCTCTCTCTCTCTCTCTCTCTCTCTCTCTCTCTCTCTCTCTCTCTCTCTCTCTCTCTCTCTCTCTCTCTCTCTCTCTCTCTCTCTCTCTCTCTCTCTCTCTCTCTCTCTCTCTCTCTCTCTCTCTCTCTCTCTCTCTCTCTCTCTCTCTCTCTCTCTCTCTCTCTCTCTCTCTCTCTCTCTCTCTCTCTCTCTCTCTCTCTCTCTCTCTCTCTCTCTCTCTCTCTCTCTCTCTCTCTCTCTCTCTCTCTCTCTCTCTCTCTCTCTCTCTCTCTCTCTCTCTCTCTCTCTCTCTCTCTCTCTCTCTCTCTCTCTCTCTCTCTCTCTCTCTCTCTCTCTCTCTCTCTCTCTCTCTGTCTCTCTCTCTCTGTCTCTCTCTCTCTCTCTCTTTCTGTCACTCTTTCTCTTCGCAGTCATTTTTACATGTCTGTTTTTCCTTTTTAACCTTTCTTGTGGAGTCTTGACATTATGAAGTCGTGTTTACCCCTCTTCATTACCCCTATTTTGTTTCACCTCCGTCAGGGACCGAGGCAACTTTGACGACGCCACAACACGCTTCTACACCGCCTGCGTAGTGGAGGCTTTCGACTATCTGCACGCACGAGGGATCATCTATCGCGATCTCAAACCCGAGAACCTGCTGCTCGACAACAGGGGCTACGTCAAACTGGTGGACTTTGGGTTCGCCAAAAAACTGCTGGTGAGGAGATGAGAACGGGAAGGAAAAGGGAAGAGAGAAGGAAGGAGAGGAGAGGAGAGCTAGGGGAGTTGCACATTAGGAATGTGTGCCGGTGTCCCTTTTTGTCAATGTGTGGTCCTATCGTGTTTTAACTTGTGCCCCTTCTCTCTTCAGGCCAGCCGGGAGGCGTGGACAATATATTGTTTAATAACATGACATGTTATTACAGTGTACAGTACAGTGTACAGGGTACAGTGTACCTCTCCCTCGTCAATATTGGACTTACTCTGATTTAATAACGTGTGCCAAAGGTCGGTCGGAAGACTTGTACGTTTTGTGGTTTAATAACGTGTGCCCCTCCCTCGTCAGGCATAACTTTGCTGTGGTTTAATAACGTGTGCCCTCACAGGTCGGCCGGAAGACGTGGACGTTCTGTGGAACTCCGGAGTATGTGGCGCCAGAGATTATCCTGAACAAGGGTCACGACATCTCAGCCGACTACTGGTCGCTGGGGGTACTGATGTTTGAACTCCTCACTGGTAGGTGCACTAGCCAACTGGTACACGGACAAGGATAATACGCACTGGTTGCCGGGGTACCGATGTTTGAACTGTATCACTGGTTTTTAGCTGCTAGCTTAGAGAACTAAACGATAAACTAATATAATGAAACTAATGAAGTGGTATTATTGTACTCGTCACTGGGGGTAATCATCTTTGAAATGCTGATTGGTACGTGAACTAGCTACCTGGTACACCGACACTCGACAGCGATGGGAAACTAGCTGAGCCGCATTTCCTAACCTTCAGCTTTGCTGCGGATTGCATGCCGTAGCCACCCTCCCATCTCCCCTTTATTTTTCTTCCCCTGGACTGGAAACGTCCCTATTGACCCGGCTCTCTTCGTTAGGAACTACCTAACTAACTAACCTAACCTCCCTTCTTTTCCCTTGAACGCCCCAACTAACCCCCTTCTCTTCCCCCAGGAACGCCACCATTCACCGGGCCCGACCCCATGAAAACCTACAACATCATCCTGAAGGGGATCGATGCCATTGAGTTCCCGCGCAACATTACCCGAACTGCCACCGTGCTCATCAAGAAACTGTGCAGAGACAACCCGGCCGAGCGACTGGGGTACCAGAAGGGCGGCATCAGGGACATCCAGAAACACAAGTAAGGAGGGGGCGAGACATAGAGGACTGGGATACAATAAAAAAGATGTCAGGGACATGTATAAACATGGTAACTAAGTAGAGGGGTGAGAAAAGGGATATACAAAAACACTAGTAGGAGTGTTAATGATGAACTCAACTTAAGGTGGTTCTCAAATCGTCACCATATATCACTGTTGTACGTACCCAATAAGCGTCTAGTTGGTGCCAGCTCCAGTAGATGTCACTGCTGCGCTCTGTTACCGCTTAGTTCCCGTCCTCACCAATAAACGTGCGTTTTGCATCGATAAAATATTATCGTTTGGAATTTGGATATTCTCCGGCGGAAAATTATTGGGGAGCGCCTATCCTCAGCATGTTTCGCTATCGCGATGCCGAACGTGATCCCCGATAATTCTCGCTGATCCCGGAAAATTATCCCTGATTTTCCGGATACCGAACGCACGCTGAATGTCACTGCTGCGTTATGTTTCACGTCTAGTTTTCGCCCTCACCAATATATGGCACTGATGTCTGTGTTTTTACAGGTGGTTCGACGGCTTCAACTGGGAAGGTCTGATCGGACGGACCCTGACACCCCCCATCATCCCGCACATCAGGTATGACCGACTGTTATCAGGTGTATGTGTTTATATGCAGGGTGTTTCACTGTCAAATGTATGCCGCGCCGCCACCCATTGTCAGGTGACCAGGAGTGTCCGCTCCCTCTTTCCCAGCGACACACAGAAGCTTATTTTCGCATGTATGTTAGTATGTATGTTACTAGGTATGTCTGCCTGCTATCAGGTATGGCTGTAGGTATGTTGTATATTATCAGGTATGTTCTTGGCTGCTTTCCCAGTAAACATGCCGACGTCGGCCCGACGTCGGCCGACGTCGGGGTGACGTCGGCAACTCGGCATCGGCATGCCGACGTCGGTCCAACCTCGGCACGACGTCGGCTGGATGTCGGATATGCCCGCATGTACCGACGTCCAGCCGAGGTCCAGCCGACGTCGGGCCGACGTCGGACCGAGATCAATTGCTGAGGTCCAGCCGACGTCGGGGCGACGTCGGACCGACATCGGCCGCTGTTTTGACCGTTAAAATAATATAAAATTCATGTTTCATGTTTTATAAAGAGCTTCTGTATTCAAAATATCAGGAAACTCAAATCTTCCTCCACGCCGCAACCCCCTGATCCGGACTGGACGGGAAACTTTATCCCATTTGGGATTGCCCGTAAGCCGAGCTCGCCCGCAGCCGGGTGCGGTGAGTGTTTGGGGCTGCTCGGCCTATCCTTTGGTCAGGCTCAGCCCCGGCAACTCACCAGGGCCGGGCCCAGTTCATATAGAAAGGCCAGTCGGCAAGTGTCACTTTGCCAAAGTGCCACTAATCAAAGGCCTTTGGGAAACGTTGGTGCAGGTGTGTAAGAGTGGCTATATGAATCCATTGTGGGGTCGCCCTTTCCAATAAGTGCCACGTAACAGCAATGGGACCAGGGACTCTATATGAACTGGACCCAGGGTGCTCGCCAATAAGACCAATGTCTCCATCCTATCATCCTTCCGGCTCTGAAATGGTCTTGTCAGACCGAAAGGGCATAACCCAACAAAACAAACATCTATATGGCTGCGTGGTGTAGTGGTTAGCGCTCTAACCTTGCGTTCAAATGACACGGGGTTCGGATCCCATCGCCGGCTGATGCTTTTGGCGTGTTGTCCCAGTAAACATGCCGACGTCGGCGACTGGGGGGCTCGAATCCCGCCGCCGGTTGATATTTTTGGCGCGTTGTCCCAATAAACATGCCGACGTCGGCCCCGTCGGTCCAACGACAAACGATCTCGTCAACCTCGGCAAACGACCTCGGCCCGACGTCGGCTCGACGTCGGCTGGACTTCGGCTGGACGTCGGAACATGCGGGCATATCCGACGTCCAGCCGATGTCGGGCCGAGGTTGAACCGACGTTGGGCCGACGTCGGCATGTTTACTGGGAATTGTTTCAATAAAAAAGTAGTTATTGTAGGCATATGTGAAAAATATAAAATATACACATAACAGTGAGGTACCCCATTTCTGGCAACATGTAGCGTCATACTCATGTTTAGCCCCGCTCACTATTGCATTCGATAACAAGCAAAACAGTGCGTAGCAGGTTGTTATCATGTGCCTCTCCTAGGTCCGCATAAGATCGTCTAACTGCCATGTGACCTCCCCCAGGTCCGTGTTGGACTCGTCCAACTTTGACGACTACCCTCCTGACTCGGAGCCGCTGCCCCAAGACGATCTCTCCGGATGGGACGCCGACTTCTAAACGGCAGACGACTGCTCAGCATAGGCCTCACAGCGGCTGCCATCTTGGAAAACTGCCGCCATCTTGGAAAACTGCCCCGCTGCGTCCGCCATCTTGGACTGCCTCTTCGCGGACGATATTTTGTGTCAGTCTGCTGTGGCGGGTTCTTTGTGCAAGTGGACGCCATTTTGAGATGCGGCACAGTGGCGGCCATCTTGGTCGGGCCTTGTGTTGTGGCAATGTGAAGTAGTTTCTGGGTGATCGGGCTTCACTTGGCGTTTCTACCACTCACTCCGTCCGCCATGTTGAGCGAGGCCCACCGTGTGGCGGCCATCTTGTGTCAGGCCCACCTACGGCGGGCGCCATGTTGTTTGTGTGCGTGCGTGCGTTGTGTCAGGCAGGACCTTCAGGAAGGGAAACGGCAATCATAAAGCGTTGTTGACCTCTGCGCTCAGACGCATGTTCTCGCCCCTTACGTCCGCTTAGTGCTCCCAAGACTCCGAGTCGTTCTATGTGGGATCATGACTCTTTGGTGCGACTCTGCGCTCGAGTCGTAACTGTGACTCGAGTCAGTCGTTGGCGTTTGACTGAGGAGTCCATGTGGTGGGGACTCAAAGAGAACTATATCCGACGCGGGAATAAGATTGAGTGTCGCTCTGTGACGTCATCGGTGGTGCTCAGTGCTGGACGGTGATTGGTGGATGGGTGATGACGTCAGCTTGGGGTCTACCAGAAGTGGTGGAACAACAGATATCTATCTATAGCCTACTATGTGTTACACCAGAAACCATCGACCGGCTCCACTGCTCACCAATGAATATGGTGGTTAACTGAAGTGTGCGATCGACTTTTGGAGGTAAAACACTCTGACTGAATGGAGGTTCCCATTCAACAGCAAAGACCCTCACTGTACCCGCAACCACGTATGACAATAACCCAAACACTTTGCATAGACAATGCCCAGCACTGGTCTTCGCTCTCGTGTTGTTTACTCCTTCACTACACCCCAAAACAGTGTATTACATCATACCATAATGGAAAATACCGTACAGGGTGTACCTATCGAGTATCCGATCGCCTTTGTGCCTTACTCTCGGATGACGTCATCTGTGACGTCATGTGAGGAGGTCGTATACGTACTCTGGGTGTTCTATGCGGTGTAATTTTGACAAGTTGGGGAGGGGGGTGAGATTGTTGTTGGGAGACGTTAGTAGCAGGTTCAATACACTCTAACAGAACACTGGTGTATTTGTGTGTGTGGTAAATGAGAGAGATGCGGAGACTCCACGGAACTCCGACTCCGACTTCGACTCCAGCTCCGGTTAGAACTAATCGATACTTCTGGCTGATTTCAGGCCTAAATATAGGTACTGAAAGTATTGTGACGGCGTAAGAACAGTCGCTTCTTTTTCAGTCATTCAAATGGCTATATCTCTGGCAGTTTTAGAGATTTTTCTTTATTTTAGGCATGTGTTAGGCCAGTAAGGACTTTTCTGACGTTTATTCCGTTTTTTTTTTTAAATTTCTTAAATTAAAAAAAAAATCTCAAGAAATCCAAGTTTATAGTTAGAAAATCCCTAGGTCGTGAGATTTTTGTGTTTGGAAAATTTCGAGATAGGCCATTTGTTTCCCTTGTTTTTTTATACCTACCTACAGTTCGATTTTCGAGTTTAGGTTGAAAGTATGATTTTCTGTAATTTTTCTTCGCTAACGACTTTTTTGACGAAAAATCGCCGAACATGACCTTAGTTTGACCTCAACAGATCGTGGCCTGAGATGAAATGGGATCTATTTTTCGATAGGCGTTATCACAAGTGTATTCGCGGCCATTGGGGCGACGTAAGAAAAGAAGAAAACAACTGGCCCCAAGAACTTTAAATTATCAGTTAGCATGCACCTTTTCCTTGATATGTAGAGAATTTACCATTAATTGTTAGAGAAAATTGCATTTAAAATCTTCCGTTTATGCTTGTTTTCATCGTTTGCACGGTATGTACTTTTACTAAGCTAGAAACACTAATTAGAAATAGTTCCCGCATCATCAAGAACAATAAGGAAGGCTTGAAGTGAATACAATAATCTAAACGGTTTTGTAATCCATGTGAAGACACTTCTAAAATTGCCTGTAGAAATATTAAAGGCAAAAGTTCAACCTTTTCACAAGACGGATGGCTATAAACCTATTCAACGTGTGACAACTCAGCCGGTATTTCGTCGCCTACAGCCCAGCTTTCCCTACTGACTGATAGAGGCGCTGCTATCGATGTCCGCCCGTGCCGCCTAACGTTCAAGAGTTGTGTAGAATTGATGCCCAGAGCATAGGCGGCGGAACGGGTAGGGCACCGGGGCACCGTGCCCCCCTTTGATTTTGGCATTTTAACATTAGCCCTATTTTAACATTAGCCCATGCAACGCCCTATGGGCGTTGCATGGAAAGAATAGGACCAAAAGTCGGCAGTGCCCCCCCCTTAACCCGTGCCCCAGTGTCAGTCTGGATTTTCCACGACCTGGTGTGAAGGGGGGGTGTTTGAACACCCCCCCCCCTTCTAAATCGGCTCCTGGGCCACGTAGCGACACGCGGTAAGCGGCAATCGAAAGAACGTTAAAAATAAGGACGAAAACACTTCGGTCATTTTTTGGGTCAGGTCACCAGAGGTCACCAGAGGTAAAATGTTGACTATTTCAACATTTTGGAAACTGCCAACGGCTATCTCGGGAACCGATAGAGTTACAGCGCCGCGGGAAAGCGCATTCGATAGCCCTTTTACAGACCTTTCTTGGTAATGTTCTCAGATTTGACCTCAGGTCAACGGTTTAGCCTCCAGAGGGCAAAAAATCCAAAAATAGCCGTTTTTACGAAAATCGGTTTTTCGGCGATAACTTTTGACTCAAAAGAGTCATGGCATTACTTTTGACAGCATCGTTTTTTCCTCTCGTCGAGACGCGTCGAATGAACTATAAGTTGACCTTGAAAGGTCAAATTGAAAATTTGACCTCAGGGCTCAGGTCAAGGTCATGACCTGACCGGAAAAGTTCATGTTGCATATCAGTCGATCCGCAACGTCGAGCCGAACACATCTAAGGCGTTTTCAGCGCTCTAGCACGCCTCTATCAGAAGTTATTAGCGAAAAGCTGTTAGATTCTGTTCGTGACCTGAGATGACCTCGGGGACATAACGAGGGGTCACAGTTGCCATTTTCCGGTTCAGTGTGTCAATTTTACCTGCATCTCGATGTTTGAGAGTGTCTAGAAAAGCGTTCGTGCAAAACAGACGCTTTTTAATTTTCTCCCATTGACTCATAATGGAGAGGCCGCAAAATTGACCTGACCTTATGTCACCGATATCAAAATTCAGAGATACACATTTTATAGATACTGTTACCCTCATCAATCGCTGAAAGTTTCAAAGCGATCGGTCACTCTGTGTAGCTATGGCAGACATTGAAACTTTTTATGAGGTGAGGTCACTTCAAGTGACCTGGTTACCTGACCTTGAGTGACCTTGGTCTGAAATTTTCACAACAGTGTAGAATTAATTGGTGGATGGGTGATGACGTCAGCTTGCGGTCTACCAGAAGTGGTGGAACAACAGATATCTATCTATAGCCTACTATGTGTTACACCAGAAACCATCGACCGGCTCCGCTGCTCACCAATGACTATGGTAACTAGTTAACTGAAGTGTGCGATCGACTTTTGGAGGTAAAACACTCTGACTGAATGAAGCTTCCCATTCAACAACAAAGACCCTCACTGTACCCGCAACCACGTATGACAATAACCCAAACACTTTGCATAGACAATGCCCAGCACTGGTCTTCGCTCTCGTGTTGTTTACTCCTTCACTACACCCCAAAACAGTGTATTACAACATACCATAATGGAAAATACCGTACAGGGTGTACCTATCGAGTATCCGATCGCCTTTGTGCCTTACTCTCGGATGACGTCATCTGTGACGTCATGTGAGGAGGTCGTATACGTACTCTATGCGGTGTAATTTTGACAAGCTGGGGAGGGGGTGAGATTGTTGTTGGGAGACGTTAGTAGAAGGTTCAATACACTCTAACAGAACACTGGTGTATTTGTGTGTGTGGTAAATGAGAGAGATGCGGGGTATATAGACTCCACGGAACTCCGACTCCGACTCCGACTCCGACTCCGACTCCGACTCCAGCTCCGATTAGAGCTAACCGATACTTCTGGCTGATTTCAAGCCTAAATAGATACTGAAAATATTGTGACGCCGTAAGAACAGCCGCTACTTTTCCAGTCATTCAAATGCCTGTCTCTGGCAGTTAAGAGATATTTTGTTAATTTTTGGCATGTGTAAGGCGTGTAAGGCCCGTAAGGACTTTTTTGACGTTTATTCCGTTTTTTTTACAGTTTCCTTAAATTAAAAAAATCTCAAGAAATCGAAGTTTTTAGTTAGAAAATCCCTAGATCGTGAGATTTTTGTGTTTGGAAAATGTCGAGACAGCCATTTGTTCGCCATGTTTTTTTATACCTACAGTTCGATTTTCGAGTCTAGGTCGAAAGTATGATTTTCTGCAATTTTTCTTCGTTAACGACTTTTTCGAAGAAAAATCGCCGAAAATGACCTTAGTTTAACCTCAACAGATCGTGACCTGAGATGACATGGGATATATTTTTTTTTCAGGAGTTGTGTAGAATTGATACCCAGAGCATAGGCGGCGGAACGGGGAGGGCAGTAATTACCAAGTTACTGAAATGGGAACAAAGTTGGCACCACTTATTGTTGTATTTTGCACGTGCACTGGGGGTGACCCACCTGCATCGAGAGTATCCTATTTTTGGTAGAAGGGATGCTGCTACCCTATAAAAATTACCGCAAGTCAATCGCCCAAGCGGCTGCTGAGATATGAGCCTCTCAAAATCACTACTTTTGCAAAACAGCTTGAACACCCTTGACTTTTCACGTGGCACGTGCCACGACGGTCACTGAGATGTAGGGGAGAGTGGGGAAAGACGCCCAGGGTTTGACTATGTCATATATTATTCGAAAATGACGATCGGAAAGCCAAAACTTGGAGTTTCAACGGAAGCCGACATCATTTTTCTCCAAAAATATCACACTTTCGTGCCTGAAATATGATAACTTTTTCTGCTATTAAGCATTTTCCTGAAGAAGTGAAAGGGGGCATCTTACCCCACAGGGTGGGAAAGACGCCCCTTGGCGTTGGGTAAGATGCCCCCTGCACTATAAGTGACATAAATAGGCACGTAAATCGCCTGAACGAATCAGTAGTACCTTCGATCCTGCTGTAGACACCAAGCGTCATCGTAAGGGCCCTCAAAAGTAGTCGTAAGGGGCTTCAGAGGTCATTGTTAGGGCCATCATAGTCCAGCGTGGCCAAACAAGCCTCCGTGGTGGCGTTCGGAGACCACTGTGGGGCCCTCATAGGTCTTTATGATGCTTGAGGGCCCTCGAGCCCATCGTGGGGACCTCAGATGCCAGCGCGGCCCGTGGAGCCAACGTGGGAGCCCTCAAAGGATGTCGTGAGGGGCCCTGGAACCAATAATGAGGCCCACAGAGGCCGTCGTGAGGGCTCTCAGAGTCAGATGCCGCCTAAAAAGTCGCTGTGTGGGCCGAAAGACCGGCATGGGGAGCACCCGACCGTACCGGACTCTCAATAGTCCCAGATCAGCTTTTGTCTCTCATCACAAGTATGTAATAAATGATTTGACGGGCTGCTTGAAGGACAGCCTACAGATTTAGGGGGGCGTCTTTCCCCATCAGGACAGGGGGCATCTTACCCCAAGGTACCGAAGTAACATTAAATCAGCACCATTTGTTAGCCACAGACTTGTGCCAAGGTCCCAAAAAGATCCGAGATCCAGGGTTCGCAGAGTCCAAGGTCTGGGACCTTGATGGATCCTGGACCTTGCATTGTCATTTTTGTCGCGAGACCTTGGAAACCCAGGACCTTAAAACATCCATATGCCGCGAGACCTTGGAATCCCAGAACCTTAAAACATCCATATGCCGCGAGACCTTGGAATCCCAGGACCTCAACATTTGCATATGTCGCGAGACATTGGAATCCCAGGACCTCAACATTTGCATATGCCGTGAGACCTTGGAATCCCAGGACATCAACATTTCATGTGACATGAGACCTTAGAAACCCAGGACCTCAACATTTCATATTGCCAAATTGTCAGGGAACTCAGATTTGTTTTTCAATAGAAAAACACAATTCTAAAGAATAGTGTTTT